AGCAGTGATCCCCAAACTCTGGTGCTTTGGACTTCAGCTTCCAGAATGGCCACCAGCAGCCACAGTTGATGGACAGCAGAGGCTGATGGAAGGGGGTGGCCAAAGAGGTCTTGGGTGGACGGTGAGTGACCACCCCACCCAAGTTCACCTTCCTGAGGGGTCACCCGGTGTGGTCCTCACCCCCTGCACCTCCCTTGTGATGCCACTGACAATGGTGCTTCTTAAATTTAAGACCTTACCTTATCTTGGGCCATAAAGTGAAGACCTTGATTTTTTGACCAGCTGGGGAATTCTGGGAGTTGTGGTCTTCCATCCACCCCAATTAATTTTGCCATGGTCTGCCTTAAGCCTCTCCTCCCCAAGTGTCCCCACATCATAACCCACCTCCCCTCCAACACCAAGGGGTCCTCTAACTTTTGCAATGGCTAGCAAGACCCTGGCTTGGCTACCTATTTGCCCTGCTGCCCCAGTCCTTCGTTCCCTTCAGCCATTTCCGCTTACCTTCTGGAGGCTTGTTGGATTCAGCTGGGTCTTGTCTATTATTTTTATAGCCACCTTAAAGAAAACAAAACAGACACAATTCAGATTGCTGGTTATGATCAATAAAACCCTATAGTACTCACACCTACATTATCTGAAGGACGATGTTCTCTTATATGAACTGAATGTAAATATTTCATATTTAATCTTCTTTGTAGTTCCATATTTCAATATTCTAATGCAACGTATTATGTTTTATCTATCCTATTTTGTTCCTTATTTTGCTCTTTTTAACCAGTCATTGGCTGAAATAAATATATATATAGGTTGAATCTCCCATATCCAGAATTCTGGAATCTGAAATACTGAGATAGTGACACCTTTGCTTTCTGATAGTTCAGTGTACACAGACTTTGTGTCATGTACAAAATTATGTAAAATGTTATGCATAATATTAGCTCCAGGCTATGTGCATAAGGTGTATATGAAACATAAATTAATTTCATGCTTAGCCTTGGGTCCCATTTCCAAGGTATTTAGGAAGAGTATCAACTTTTTAAATGCTGCTTCTTGCATGTCATGAGTTTGCACTGCCCCTCAATCTTTGGTTCTCCAGATGTTTCAAACTCCAGCTCCCAGAATCCCTGATGACTAACCAAGCTAGCTGCGGCTTCTGAGGACCAGTGTTTGAGAATTACTGTTCCAGATATTTCTAAGTCTGTCACCAAACTACAAATCCCAAGATTCTTTAGGATGGAGCCATGTGCCAGTTAAACAGGTGTCTGTGTGTGTTGTTTGCCTTCAAGTCGTTTCCGACTTATGGTGACCCTATCTCAGGGTTTTCTTAGCAAGTTTTTTCAGAGGGGGATTTGCCATTGCCATCCTATCAAGCTGAGAAAATGTGACTCATCCAAGATCACCCAAGATTTCCATGGCTGAACAAGGATTCGAACCCTGCTCTCCAGAATCCAAGTCCAACGCTCAAACCACTACACCACACTGACTCTCACAAACTGCAATTATTTCTGCAGTGTGGATTCCCCTCTTTTGGAGATATTTTGGATATTTAGAAATTTGGGGTCCTGAGCTTCTCTTGATGCCAACAGTAGCTGCTTCCCCAAATTACAACTCCCAGGATTCCTTTGCAAGGAATCTCAACAGTTAAAGTGTGATATACAGTCAGCCTTCCTTATCATGGTTTTTTTTTTTATCGATGGATTCAAGCATCTATGGCTTGAATATATATATATATATATATATATATATATATATATATATATATATATATATATATATATATATATATATATATATATATTCAAGCCATAGATGCTTGAATCCATGGATAAAAAAAAACATGGATAAGGAAGGCTGACTCAGACAAGCAAACCCTGATTTTGCTATTTTATATAAGGAGCACCATTTTACTATGCCCTTGTATTTAATGGGACTTGAGCATCCACATTTTGGTATCCATGGGAGGTTGTGGAACCAAACCCAAGCAGATACCAAGGGCCCACTGCAATAATAATAATAATAATAATAATAATAATAATAATAATAATTCCATTATATATAATGGGACTTGCACATGCATGGATTTTGTTATCCACGGTGGGTCCTGGAACCAAACCCCAGCAAATAACAAGGGCCCGCTGTACCAAAATGCGACCATGTGCCACCAAAACTGCATTCCTAATCCAAATGCTGTCCCTGGTAAGTGCCATCCTCCCCATGCCCCTTGGTCCTGCTTGCCTCACCTCTCTGCCAGTGAGGATGTGCCGTGCCAGCTTGACTTTGGCGAAGTTGCCCTTGCCGATGGTCTTGAGGAGCCGGTAGTTGCCGATGTGAGGCTGTTCGTCGGCGCAGGAGGCGATGGAGTTGCGGCACCGGGCGCCCAGCGAGCGGCTGGACCATGATGAGCCCTTTTCGGAGCGGCTGCTGGCCAGGGTGGAGGGCTGCGGGGAAAGCGGCGGCGTCACCGGGATGGGGGCCGGGTCGAGGGTCACCACCGGGCAGCGCTGGTGCTTTAGGGAGAAAGGAATGCATAACGTGAGAAGGAAGAAGGCGAAGAAGTTGCGAAATGGCCATCTTTCAAATTCCCCACATGTGCATTGACTGGCTTGGCCACAGCAAAGTGCTGAGCGCATCCTTCTCTGAGAAATCCCCGGTTGTAGAAAGCAAATAGTTCAGGGTTCAAAAGGCTAAGTGAGTTAATTCTGCCAGATGGACATGATCTTTGGAGTGTCCTTTCCACTTGGGTCCCAAGAACTCACAGGGCTATTCCAGACTGGTCTAAAGAAGAGTGACTCCTTGCAATATAACTCCTTGCATTTTGTTGGCTGAGACAGTGACACTTTTGCTTTCTGAGGGTTCAATGTACACAAACTTTGTTTCATGCACACACACACACAAAAATAATTAAAAGCATTGTGTATAAAATTCCCTTCAGACTATGTGTATAAGGTGTATACAAAACATAAATGAATTTCCTACTTCGACTGGAAATATTCCTGGAAAAATCCAAAATCCAAAACACTTTTAGTCCCAAGCGTTTCGAATATGGGAGAGTCAACCTGTATTATTTAAAGGAGGAGAAGAGAAGGGAATATTTTGCATTACAGGACTCTTTAAAACAGGTAGAAGCAAGCAGGGCTTAGCTGGCGAATTAGCCAAGATGCCAATTAACTGGATCAATCCCAGATTCTGTGTGATCGCCCAGCAGAGTCAATTCTTTTCAGAAGAAATTTTAGGCACTGTTGGGCTCTTACTATGTTGGCCCTCAGAAACACTCATTTTTCTGCACTACATCTCCCAAACAAGTCAGGATGTCTAGGGGATTTGGGGTGCTGTAAACCAAAAAATGTAAATTTCCAAAGCTCTTCTTGTAACTGACCAAAAGAAGGTGTTTCTGCTGCAGTGGATAATAAGACAACCATAAAATGACCATTTTCCTGCTTCTTGCAATCTGAATGCATCCTTGAGATGGAGGACAAGAAGGGGTTGGCAAAAGTCTCTGCAATTGTTAGGTCCAAGGCCCAGAAT